CCCCAAAACCCCAAAACCCCAAAACCCCAAAACCCCTTTTTACCAACTTTTAGCTGAAATAATATAATATATAAATGCCTAGAAAGAAAAGCGCCCTTGTTGGTAACTATGAGCTTGGAGAAGAGATAAGCCAAGGCTCATTCTCAAAAGTATACCTCTGCAACATCTGGAGACAAGACAATATCTTTCCAGATGCCAGATGGAGAATGCGTAAGGGAAGAACTATTGCTTGCAAAATGACTACTCATTGATGGCTTTCAGAGACCGACTCTACTAACTTGATTAGAGAGATAAACATACTGATGAAGCTTGATCATAAAAATATCATGAGGTTTATCGAAGTTAATAAAGATAAGAAGTATATTTACCTCTTTGTCGAACACTGCAATGGAGGAGACTTGAAGAAATTGATAAAAGCGAGAGGAGGAAAACTTAGTGAACAGTTCACTCAGAAAATTGCATTTCAGATTTCAAAGGGATTATACCATCTCTATCTGAAGGGAGTGATACATCGTGACTTAAAGCCCGATAACATCTTGATTCACTTCCCAAATTTTAAACAAGAGGACTGTGAACTTGATCAGTACTTGAAAGATTTCAAGTATAAGACAGAACCGATGGAAGCAATTATCGGTGATTTTGGATTTGCTAGATTTTTAAAGAAACATGAGTTAGCCACTTCCTGAATAGGTTCACCTGCTAACATGGCTCCTGAAATATTCCCTGAAAAAGGTTATGATGCCAAAGTTGATATATGGGCTTTCGGAACTGTTGTTTATGAGCTCTTATTTGGGTTTCTTCCCTTTTATGGGTATACAATTGAAGGTCTGAAAAAGATGATTGAAATAGGGGTTTATGGAATCCCTTTTGAAGTCGAAGTCTCTGCAGAATGAATCGATTTCATTCAAAAATGCCTCCAAGAAGATCCATCAAAGAGGCTGAGCCATTTTGAAGCTTATCAGCATCCATTTATCACTAGGAAAGAACTCAAATCTTCTACAAAGCGCAGAATGAAGAGAACAAAGGATGGTAAAAAGGATATAGTTGTTGATAATGGATCAATATTACTAAATAAAAGAAATGCAATCATGCTTAATATTAGAGAGATAAAGCCTCTTAAAGAACTAGAAGAAATGGTGGCCTCTATTCCTGGAGAAACTCAGGATAAAGTTCAGATTAAGAAGATTAAGTTTAAAGACAATTATGAAGAAGATAAGATCGAAAGTGATAAATTCACAGGACAAACTTCTTCTATTGTAGATTCATGATTTGCTAAGGAGAAGAAGAAGAGTATAATACCCAAGAAAATGATTAAAGGAATTAAGAGAACCTTTAGAAAGAAAGAGTTAGGCAAAGATGATCAGAAGTTCAAAAGTAAAGGTATTAGTAGCAATATTCTCTCTTTCCTATGAAATTTTATGCTTTTAAATAATGTGTTTTCTCACCGAAGATTTCAGAGTTTAAAGAGCCTTACAAAATAAAGTAAGGGTATTGCTAAATGTTTAGAGTTTTGGAGTAACTTTGAAATCTTTCAAATTAATGCCAGAATAACTTCAAGCATGAAGCGATCTTAAAGCCCATACAATGTTTTTGTTGCTACATTTACTAAAATTTCAGAAATCTAGTTCTTTTCTGCCCTTTTTACTTTGTTTTTGGCAAATCCAAAATTTTGGCTACATAAATTTTATTAATTTGACTATGAAAATCTAAATTTTAAAATTCTTTCATTCTGATTTATTATTAGAAAATAACTACAAACCAAAGAAAGCATTTGCGAAGGAAAAGATAAAGAAACCCAAGGGTGTTACTAAAAATGCCAAATTCTACATTAAGAAGAAAGTCATAATTAAGAAAATAGAAATCAGTCATGATTCTGACCTGCGCATATCAGCCGATAGGTCATCTTTAAGACTCCAAGATTCACATATCAGCAGTGATATCTCCAGTGCCAACGATTCACCTATTAAAAAGATTCCGTCTCATGATAAAACCTTGGGAAGATCAGTCCAAATCCAGAAATCTTAGCTTTTCCGAAATAAAAATTCTTCAAAATAGAAATTAAATTGCTCTCTCCCTCTTCAATGGGTTTATCGTACTACGGGGTTTTGGGGTTTTGGGGTTTTGGGG